TCAGCTAAAGTATACAAATAGAATAGGGGATAGTCTGCTAAATACAAATGAAATAAAAGAACATAGCGTTTATCTGTGTAGGGACTTATAATAGTGTGCAATCACAATTGGTCACTCACAAATTATCTGATGTAAAAGCAGCCTTGAATAATATCTTTTTCTTCAGTATCCACTGTGTTGTCCCTCCTCACACTTCCATCAGCGAATTAGTATATATGGCTCAAAATAGAAAAATATATACAAAAATGTAGTGCACTTCCAGAGTATAATAAAAATTTTTTTTAATAACTTACATTTAGGTATAAAACAAATAGCATGTCACCATAAGAACGTCCTATGCGTTTCGTCCTTCAATTGGACTTCCTCAGGGACTTGGTGAAAAACAATAATAATAACAGCAGCAATAACAACTATCCTTCCCACAGTTCTTTTATACATCCCCCATTAATTATTCAATGATTTCCAGCCAGTGTTCAACTTCCGTTTTGGCGGTATTTTCTGTGTGTTTAAAACCGGATGACGTCATCACGTGCGCCGTTTGCGTTCCATCTTGCGTTCCACGAACCCGGAAGTGGATCGCGGTTGTCTATTTTCATTTCCTTCATTGTTATAACTACTCTGAACGTGTGTGGATAGATGAATAAACAGAGGGGGGGAGGAAATACTGTTAAAAAAAAAAAAACTCTGGATGGCACTACATTAATAAGATTATTACAATAATTTCGATTATTTTACAATAGAATCTATGGGTGCAGAAACATGCATATATATCCACTAATTACTTATGTGAACAAAAAATTATTTACACTTATAAAAAATCTTAAATTATATATAAAGTGCATCTTTACATAATGGGCACATGTACAAATGTTTACACCCTCACAATTCATAGGAAATGTATATGAAAAAGATACATAAAATACATAAATGGCAACATAACTTAACATCATATCTAATCACAATACATTAGTCACTCTATCAGGCTCTGGAAGGATCTGCCCCTGGAGAACGTAGGATCCAAGTGCAGTATGCTTGATGAACTCACTCTCAGTCTAAGGGTTGAAGCATACAAAAATATTCCTTTAATTGACAAATAAACAAATATATCAATGATAAAAATAATAAAAAGTGGAGTAGGAGTAGACCAAGTATAGTACAGGATGTCAGTAAATAGACCGTACAAGTTCTATCACACTGTGTTTTCCAGCTGATCACAGAATCTCCATCTACGTGTAGTGTCTTCCAGGTTCGGCGTGCAACGTGTTTCGCCTCTCGGGGCTTTCTCAAGCATAAGTGAGTTCTATTGGGCGTGTGTTTTATACCTTCTCTAATCACTTGAAGGTGTGTCTACCTCCAAAATATAAGTCCACATGACATAGAAGGCAGAATTATAGAGATGAAGACATGAAAGCACCAGTAAAAGAAAATTCAATAAAGATTACATGGAGTAAAAACAAGGGCATATTGCCTAAACGCAATATATCAATAAAAATGTAATGTCTAAAAAAACTCCAGATTATATCTAATATTGCAAAATGAGGTATTTATGACAAGTAAGTGCATTAGTCTGAGTGATCCAAGGCTAAATTCATAAGACATAGATGTGCAAGGGCTCTGAGGGCTATACACCTAAAAGCATTTATTCACTCAAGCCCCTATTTGTCATATTTTGATAAAAAAGCGAAAATTGTTAGTCAAAGTATGGTGCATCTTTGTAAGGAGAAACAAAACATAAAAACAACTAAACAAGATCTGTCAAAAAAAAAAAAGGTGTATCACCTAAACACAGCTTAGAAAATGAATAATCATATTGTAGAAAAAACCCAAATTGTATCTAATCAGGTCCTGAGAAGTAATTAATTATAAATGAGTATACTCTGTGGTCTAAAACTAGAACAGTCAAGAAAATATGCATAAATATATTAGCGGAATTTAACAACTTATAATTGGCATATCTTCCTAAACAAAGTTTAGTATGACCCCCATTTATGTTCCTTGTGTCAGACATGTGCAGACAGGATAAAACATCAAGAGCTCTACAACAATCCATCCGGTGGGAAAAGGGGGCTTATCGCCTAAGAGCATTTTCCCCCAAAAAGGAAGGTTGTAGTTTAGTAGATATATACGACTAGGAAATGCAAAGCTAGTAGTAAACCTGTCAAAAAGGTTAAAGTGGAGAGGTTGATTAGTATACA